TCAAAACGTCGGATTAACTCGAAATTTGGTATACTTATTAAGGACCGATGATAATACAATATTTAAAAAAAAATTAAAAACTCTTTGAAAAAATTGAAACTCAATTAAGAAATGAAAAATAAATAATAGTTTAAAAAAACTAACAAAATACGCTTTTATAGAAAATCCAACTAAAAATAGAAATAAATTTTAATAAATTTGAATTAAAAATAGTGTAAGAAAAAATGATTTTATTGTAAAAAAAGCGTGGGGTGCATAGTATCAGTAGTTATAAATATAATAATATTATGAAGAGGAAAGATTTGTTTGTTTGTTTGTTTCGAATAGGCTCCGAAACTACTGGACCGATTTGAAAAATTCTTTTTCCATTAGAAGCCGACATTGTCCCTGATGAACATAGGCTACTTTTTTTAATTTTTTTTTTCGGTTTCATGTGTGTTTTAATGTTTCCGAAGCGAAGCGAGGGCGGGTCGCTAGTTATAAATATTTTATGAACAGATATGAGTAGAAGGGTTATTTTCATAATATCCTGAAAAGCACCCCACGCTTTTTTATAATAAAATCATTTTTTCTTACACTATTTTTAATTTCAATTGTTAAAGTTTATTTTCTATTTTTTAGTTGGATTTTATTATAAACGCGAAAGTGACATTTGTTTAGGGGGGCAGTTTAATCGTTTCACTTAATCTTATGAAACAATAACCTTGTATTAAAGCGGTTATTGTACCTTTATTAAAAAACAAAACAAGCTTTTATTTATTTAAAGAAGTGCCACTAAGTGGTTTTTGTTTGCCCATATATGTATATTGCTTTTGAATTGCGATGTGCAAGGAAGACGTGAGAAGTAAACAAAGCTTATATTAATAATTTGTAGGGGCCACAAGTGCTCCTATACTATCTGTTATTATGTATATGTTAGCGATAATTATATTGCAGTGATGCTACTTTAGTCTCGGGAATGTCGAGCTGTCGATAGCATGATAGGTTGTAATATAATTTATATATTTTATTTATTTATTGCTTAGATGGTTGGACGAGCTCACAGCCCACCTGGTGTTAAGTTAGCGGAGCCCATAGACATCTACAACGTTATGCGCCACCCACCTTGAGATAGAAGTTCTAAGATCTCAGTATAGTTACAACGGCTGCGCCACCCTTCAAAACGAAACGCATTACTGCTTCACTGCAGAAATAGGCGGTGTGGTGGTACCTACCCGCGCGGACTCACAAGAGGTCCTACCACCAGTGAAATTATATATATTCTTTATATACATTAATTTTAATATACTTTAATCACTATACTTAGTCTGGCCATAAATATTGTTACAAAGGAAAAAAGAAAATTTCTATTGCAAATAACATTTATTACTTTTACAGTGTGTTAGTTTAATACATAAATATAAAACAATTTAAAGTATAAAAAGCTTAATCGAAGTGGTCTCCATTGGCTGCAATACAGTCCTTTGAACGTTGAGGCCAGTTATCAATAGAAGCACGCACTCTTTCCATGGGAAAATTTTTCACTACCAATCGTACGGATTGTTTTAGGGACTCCAAATTATCATGGCGTTTAGAGCAAGCCGTACTCTCTAAAACTGACCATAAATCATAATCCAGCGGATTAAGATCGGGACTAGACGACGGCCAGTTTTCAGCTCTGATGAAGTCCGAAACATTCGTTTCCAACCAAGACTGCGTAGACCGAGCTTTATGACTTGGCGCCGAGTCTTGCTGGAAGGACCATTCTTGATACCTTTTTCACAAAAGTATGGCTCAGTCACTCCTTCATAGCTAATACCCCACCAAACCATCACTGAAGTCGGATAGTGCCCACGTTGCAGTCTGTCGACTAATTGGGAAGCTTCCTTAGAGCTTTGAGCATAAATACGGTCATTTTTTTTGTTAAAGTGTTGCTCAATTGTAAATTTCTCATCCGTAAACAAAATTTTTCTATGACCTCCCTTTGCGTACCGCTTCAGTAGTTGTTTCGATTTTACCACCCTATTCTCTTTTAAATTATCAGTTAAGAAATGACCAGTACGTCTCTTATAGGCTGCAAGCCCTAAGTCACCTATTAAAATACGCGACATGGTTCTAGGTGCTATCTTCATCTCGCGAGATAAAATCTTTTGCTTTCGAACAGGATTTCTTCGAATTCTTTCCCTTACTGCTTTGACCACCTTTTTCGTACGAACACTACGTGGACGGCCAGATCTTTTTCTGTCACAAACAGAGGAGGTCTCATTTTATTAATACCAAGCGTATGGAGAGTTTTAAAAATTGCATTTGGCTCCATACCTACTTTGTGTAATGCGCGATCACAGCGATTCTGTTCTCTTTATCACCCCACTCCATTTTAATATCGCAAAATATTGTACAATGTATTGGCGCCAAAATGAGAAAACTCAATGAGCAATCATATAAAAATGACAGATTCCAAATTCAAATGTAATATTTTATTTATTTTTAATTGTAACAGTATTTATGGCCAGACTAAGTATATCTCTACAATACTTTAATCACTTAACTGAACACGTGTCTTATTAATCCTTGCCCTATATAGAGACTCAACAAATTTTATAAAAAAAGTGAGTAACATAGGCATTTTTTTATTATAAAATATCACAATCATAATATTAAAGCACATAAATTTGTGCCCGTCTAATCGCTTTACGAAAGCCACACGTAATCCCTTCCTCGGTTATTCCCCGATTAAACGAACTAAAACATTATCTTTTATCGAACGATATTGGAAAGATAATTTGATGTTCGGCAAAACTCTATCAATCATAATAATATGTTTCCATTACAGGAAATGTAAATACGTTATAAAATAAATCTGTTGTCCAATAGTTCCTTTTTATGACATCAATACGCTAGCCCATGGACTATTTCGTTAAGACCTTCCTTGAGTTTGAGATATGGGAGACATGAGTTAAGGCGAATTTACATTACGAAATTAGTGGCATGAAATGAATTTCGTGACATTAGTTTTACCAACAGTTTCACGTGCAATTTAATACTTTCGTAATGCATGCATTAATTTCATGCATGCAAATTAGTTTCTGCTAATTCAGAGACTAACTTCATTGCACCTAAATGCCTTCTTACTCTTTACCTTTACTCTAACTTTTTTCTTTTTCTTGATAGTCTTTTTTTAAGTTTATAGGTATATAAGCATTTCTTTAGCTATATTGAATATAGCAAATTATAGCTTTGATGCTGAAGGCGCCATGGTTACTGCGATACTGTGGATTTCACGACACTAATTTTTTAACGAAATTACTTTCGCATATTTCGTGAAACTGAGCTCAACATGCATGACACTAATTTCGTAATGTATAGTAAGCCGACTTAACCTAATAGGTGTATGGCTCTAATAAAGAATAAAAAAAAACCCGCATTAGAGAATAGAAATGTTAAATTAACGCAGTTATCACTGAAAATTAGAAGTACGTTGACATCACAGCTCTTCCAAACGTTTTATTTTACATATTCTTCAACACCAATAAAATAATAGTATTTTCTTCGATTTTCACGAGACGTAGACATAATTAACTCGTTTATAGATTGTAGGTTTTGTTATATAGATAATTGTGTAAAGTATTCAAAAGCGTCGGAAATAATTTGATGAAATTTAAAAAAGAAACGCGAGATTATACCGTACTTTGTTTGTTGTCAACAATAACACAATACTACTTTTCGTCATTCGATTTATACTAGATGATGATTTATACTAGATGCGACGATAGACTTAAAGCGGTTAGTTGCCCTCAATTAAGAAAGAGTATTATTATTCGCCAATAGATGTCGGGAGGAGTTGATAATTATTGAAAACACGAATAAAACAACATTTTCTGAAAATAAATCGTAGCTAGATCGATTTATCGCCCCCCAAATTCCCTGTTTACTAAATTTTATGAAAATCGTTGGAGCCGTTTCTGAGATTCAGATTATATATATAGATATACAATAATTGCTCGTTTAAAGGTATAAGATATTTTTTTCACTTATGTAATTTCCGTAGAACTATGTTTGAACCTTTGGTTCGTTTTGTCATCTCACAGCGTCTTAACCTTGATGCTGGAGACCGTGATCGCTTCACGAAAACAATAGGCAGAACAATGGAACCTATTCGTGTGAATACACATTGCGCCCATCCCTCGCCGATTAGTTTAATTTATAAATAAATTGGCTACCTTAAAAACAATTTAAATCGTTTTAATTCACGTTACACGACATCACGGCACATGTTAATTCGTAGAATATATAATTATCAGTTAAGGCGTGTCGAATTATGATTGTAGGTAATTAACTATTGATTAATTCAACGCTAAATTTTAAAATATCTTACGAGTCCTAGGAAACGGAAAATTGTAAATTGAAGGACGTGGAACTACACACATAAGTCTCCGGGTATTAGTGTGGTTTTCCTTCTGAAGAACCATTTTCTGAAATTCCGTATATGCATCGGAGTATTATGACGTAAACGCAATTCTCAATAATTACGATGTAACGTATAAAACTACCTACTGATTACATATAGATTTTTAAAAATAAAATACTCGTAGACGTTGTACCTATGTTTTTTTCCATGGTTATGTACATAATAATATGTATTACGAGTATATAATATAATTTTTATTTTTGTTGTAATATTATTATTTATTGCCTTCGGCCAGTATACGGTATACCTATAGTATATTATATAGCCGCTACCTAAATATCTTCGTTTTATTTTAACAGCGAAATTTTAACATTTCGTGGTCGCTTTTGTGAATAAATTTGAAATCGGTTCAAAGAACTATTTGAAGAATACGGTCTCAATGTCGCAATGTCGAACGAACAATTCAATTAGCTTCAGTTTCCGTGTGAATATTTTTATCACGGTTTTCATGCTTAAAACTTATACTTTAATAATGTATATTATCTATATCCTTGATTCGACCTTAAACGTTACGGAGAATAAAATGGACAATTGGCGTTTTTGTGTTTTACAGCGTGGCCGTTCTGGACTAAACTGGTCGTGGTGGCGGTCGGGTTTACGGGGGGGGCGGTCTTTATGTACATACAGTGCCGGCAGTATTTGCACCTATGTAATCGTTGGAGAGCTCACAATAGGTAAGCATTTCTTTATTCTTAATCATTATTATGTATTTTTTTTTTGTATTGCTTAGATGGGTGGACAAGCTCACAGCCCACCTGGTGTTAAGTGGTTACTGGAGCCCATAGACATCTACAACGTGAATGCGCCACCCACCTTGAGATATTAGTTCTAAGGTCTCAGTATAGTTACAACGGCTGGCCCACCCTTCAACCCGAAACGCATTTCTGCTTCACGGCAGAAATAGGCGGGGTGGTAGTACCTACCCGTGCGGACTCACAATAGGTCCTACCACCAATCAATTGTCATTGTGTAGAAGATTTTTCTTTTTATTTCCTAGGTGTTTCAATTTAGCTCACTGCACGTGCCTGGTGTTAGTTGGATACCGGCACCAACTTTCAAACATAAGATTGAAGTGTTAATTTTCTTGTATAACAGTTATCGGAACCGGAATGCACTACTGCATTGCGGCAGAAATAGGCCGAATGATGGTACTTAGCAACCATTTAATTTAAATATTATTGAATTGAATGATAATAAAAGTCTGTCAACATTGAAAAAAATACGATAGTATTAGGGTATTTGTTTTACAGAAAAAAAAAAAAAATGCCGTTTTCCTTCTTTTGTTTTAAGAGATAACGTAAGCGGTAATGACCCTCATACTTACGATATCATTGAAATATGAATGTACCAAAGTGATAAGTATTTATAACTTAATAAATGCAAAGTTTTCCCGTTGTCGAACACTATGCTAGTACATATGTTTAAAATAATATAGATTTGTCATTTCAATTTCGAAATTCGTTTTGTTTGCAGGATGTATGACTGATTTTTGTGTTAATGTTCATGAGTTGATAAAATGGCTTCTCAGTAAGCAGTATTACTACTGTTTTTCATTATTTTCCAGGATACTATTAATACAAAATGCACCGGAGAAGATGGCGGTGTGTGGTGGGTCGCCTCCGGTGGTGGCGATGCGGGGGCCGCGGGGCGTGCGGGGTCAGGTGGTCGCCAACATTGAGCCCTCGCCGCCCCCCGCCGCCTTCCACGAGGAGGACGAGAGCGGAGGCTTCGAGACCTACCGCCCCCCGCCGCCCCGCCGCCTCGCGCCCCCCGACGAGCGCATTCCGCCGCGCCGAGCCTCCGACCCGCGCCTCGCCGCTCCCCCAGCCGCGCCACCAGCCCTGCCATCCGTCGCACCACTCGCCATACACGTGAGCTAAACGTTCATATCGCTAATACTACTTCTGAATATCTTCGGACAACCTCATAAGTAAGCCATTCGCAACCATCACATTTATGGCTCGGTGTTTGTCGATTTTATTTGAATTTACTATTTAGATGTCATTCTCGACCAATACAATTGTTTAATAGAGAGAAAGTTACCTAATTCTTATTATATAAATGTTTATATAAGATAATTCGCGCATGTTTTTTTTTCTTAAGTGGTTACTGGAGCCCATAGACATCTACAACGTAAATGCGCCACCCACCTTGAGATGCAGGTTCTAATGTCTCAAGTATAGTTACAAGTATGTTACGTCAGGAATGTGATTTTGTTATGGGTTACACAAGAGTAAGTGAGAGGTTGTGTGGCAGGGCGTGTACCATATCGCGGTGGATCCGCTGGAGGCCGACATCAGGTCGCTGCTGGCGCTGGAGGCGCAGCGCCAGACTGCCCGCTCGCTGCCGAACCTGCGCGCCTCTCGCGAGAGTCTCCTGCCGCCTGCCTCCTGAGGGCCCGCCCTGCTGCTCTACCCTGACGACACCGTCTACTAGCGCGACCGGGCGCGGCCCTGACGTCACGTGACGGTGCGTCCCTGACGTCACGTAACGGTGCGGGCCCTCGGGAATACTTTGCTAGACAAAGACTTTGACGCCCGGCGGGCATCTCAGTGAGTCCAATGGAAGTGTTTCGGTGCATAGACTGTCCGGCGGACCGGATGCGCCGCGAATTGTGCGATCGTTTGTAAATATCAAGTAGTGTTTACGTACCGTGGTGTAAATATATTATAAACGTTAATGTCCGACGATGTATTTTAATTCCGACGCTGCAGATTTTAAACGTAAAAACGCACTCACTTACTGAGCTGATGAAACGATTAGGATATTGATATCGATGTGCCATTATTAAAATTAATACACCAATCTATGAATTCATATTAATAATGTAATTAGGTAGAAATGCGATTTTGTAATTTAAAGTGTCGAAAAGTAAACATAATAATAATAAAATAACAATAAAAAAATCAACACCAACTTCGTTACAATTTTTTTTAAATAATTTAATTGAGATGTATCGTTCTGTTAATACACAAAACTCTTGACTCGAAAACTAGTATACAAATGAAATTCGATTACTCTAATTTCATGTTTATCGTTTCTCGTTACAATATACATGTGTGTATATAATTTTATTTAACATTCAGTACATAGTTCAGGCACTCTGTCATCTGATACACTCGATACGGCAACCATTATGACATTCATTGCTTTAGAATCTCAAAAGATTTCGTGACAATCATTTCTATTAGGATAAAAATAAAAATAAAAACTTGGAAACATCAAACGACTTCGCAATTAAAAAGAAATTTTTTTTTTTAAAATAGTATTTATTACTTTAAACTAGAAAGTATATAATTATGGTCATAATGTTATAACTTGTACAATTGTATGTATGATCTATTGCGTCAAAATAGAGTTTGTCTAATGGCGCGTTCGGACTGGAGTTAAAAATGTTAAAATGTTTTCGACGCGTCGCACCATTCGGGAAGCTTCGGGTCTTGTCGGCTCTTTCCGACTCCGCGCCCCCGACGGCAATGGCAATAATAAACATTGTTATTAAAATTTAAAACGACTATAAAGGCTTGTTGTCGTCCGTGACCACGAAAACTGCGGAGCATCCAAAACGTCAGCAATAATATCGCACCTTTAGAATTAAGGTGGCTTAACTAAAATTTTCAAGAAAATGAGTTTTTGTACTTCAAACTCATGAACGTGTATTTTATGAGTTTCTTAAAATTAAACAGTCTGTTTTAGTCTAGAAAAGGACATACGTAATCTTTCCGTCTCTTTTAAATTAAGCTTTTACAATAGTACATTGTGCACTAAGGGAGAAATGTCCAAATTTTCTCCCGCGGTGCACATACTATTTTTTCTCCTACCAGGCTGAAAGTTCGTGGAGTACCGAGCCGGGGTCCAGGGGCGAAGCCCTAGCGGGGTAGGGGTCGCGGAGCCCCTCCATACTCATAAACAAAACAATTTAACTGTTTTTTAAATTTTTAAATAAGCTACTACTAATACTAAGAACTACTATTAAAATAAGAACTGTCTGATGAACTCATATTTGTTTAATACTTCACTATTAAATTTTATTGCCTTTTGTTTATTTCACTTTTACACTAAACACAATATTGCAAATTACCCGACCACAACAATGGCGGAGAATTTTAGGTGCGTGAGAGCAGAGGTAGACACTAACGCGCATGTGAGTCGACTATTATCAAAGCCGGCAATGTGACTTTTGGACAATTATTGGTAAATCATAAAAACGAATTATTGACTTTGTATTCCATTGGCAGTCACAAAACTCTTCTGAACGACATCTTAGATAAATAACAGGTTAAGTATTAACCTTTATTTAATGCAGGTTTTGAACCGTATTCTTTGAAGTAGACGATTATATTCAAATCAATCTGTATTGACATATCAATAACATTTTTTGTCCAAATGTACAGATTGCCACCTTTGATAATAGACGACTCATGTGCACTTGTACCCAGGGAGAAAAACTTACACTTTCTTCCCTGTACAGCGGGATGAAAACCGAACTTTCGGCGTCGGTAGGAGAAAAAAGTAAATATTATAATCGAAAAAAAATGACAATTTTTCAATTAGGTACATGTTAACGTTTAACAAATATAAGATTTTTGGAATAAGCCACTTCAATTCTAAAGGTGCGTTATCGTGACATTTATACATATATGCGAGATTAAATCGTAAAAGTAGTTTTGATCGCTCGTAGTGAGACTCGCGAAAACGAAACTATAAGACACACTTTTGTTAATACATGAAGCGCAATGGTTTATATGATCAGCTCTCTGGATATATATTTATTTCCCTTTGTCCTCTTCATACGTCGCTCTCATATAATAATATTTCAATAAATTTTATCAATGTGTTTAGTTGTTCATGTGCAGGTCTTTATTGTTACAAGTTTTCAGCGGGCAATAATGATACAGGAAAGAAGTAAATGAGTTCATGTTAAATTTTCGATAAAAAGATTGCGATACCAAATCAATTAATTCTAAGAGTCATGATGATTTTCACGTAGAATTTCTAATAAAGTGAAAAAAAATGTGAATACTTTTTAGAACGAATCATTTAAATACTTTAAAACGTATGCAAAAATTTCCATGTTTGAATCAATTTACATTACAAACTTCTTTTTTTGTCATTTAAAAAAAAATCATTATAATTTCCAAATACATCTGAATTTTCATAGCTATTCTGATTGGTGACCATTGGCGGCCTTAATTTCATGACTTACCATAGAGTAGCTAACAAATAATGCCACAGGATAAAAAAAAAAGCACAAAACTGTTAGTCAATGATAGTTTACGTATTACGTACGTTACATTATTACGTACTGTATAGAACATGAAATTAAAAAAGTAAAAAGAAAGAGGAAATAAATTAAAGGATATAATGTATGTGTTAGAAAGAGACTAACTTTATATTTTAGTTTGACGTTCTCTCTGTCACCCCAAAACGCAGTTACATTCGTAGTGCAACAGCAATGTAATACAAAACTAATTAAGTTAATTGGTTAAAATATTTTTATAGTATTTACGTATTCAATAGAACGTGTTTTATGTTCCTTGCAGTTCCAGTAAAAATTATACGTCCATAAAACATTGTTTTAGCGAAAAACGTTTAGACTAACGTTTAACCGTAATGTAAAATGACATAGTAGAGCAGTGTTTCCCAACCTTTTTTGTGCCATGCCCCACTGTAACATTTCTGAAATGTTTATGCCATATATAATTTTTAAAATTAAAACATTGATTCGTGCACTTAAGAAACATAAATGATAGGTTTTAGGAAGAAATCACTATGAAATTGTTATCAGTACACAATAAGTAATATTTCTAAACATATAATATAAAAACCGAAATTCAAATTCAAATTAATTTTAATATAGATTTTCTATATTAATTTAGTGCGATTGCCCCCCTTAATTATCAAATTGCCCCCTTGTGGGGCGTGAGCTCCGCGTTGGGAAACACCGTACTAGAGGAACCGATTTGCGCGGGATCCAATATTATAGGATTTATTTAAGTATTTCAAAACCAAAATGTTTAGAACTTTTTATTTCTCTAATACTAATCATGACCACACAGTTACTGAGAAATTTCAAGAATTGTCATTTTTTGTGTTGTCTCTTTAATAATAAGCTGAAAGAAAACCATGACCGAATGAAATGACCATTTTTTATATATTATTGTTCTTTTTATTGCTTTTAACTTAAACGAAATCAACAAGCTTCGTTTCTTTTTTTACTTTAATTTTCACTCTTATAATATTTTCGGTGTTGTGTAAGTTTGTTGATTTCTTTCATTCATTATATATTGAACGTCGATTTATAATAAGTGTCACTTATGATCTCTTCAAAAATTGTAATATTTTACTATGCACGCCAAAGAATTAACCACTTGAGGTATCAATTTATCGATGGCATTTAGAATCTATTTATTTGGATGAAAAAGAAAATTATTTTTAACTTATAATCAGACAAATTATAAACACTACTTCACAAAGACCGCTACGGCTAGCTTGGATCCGGATACATTCACTTCAAGATGCCCTCTTTAATATAATTTCGAACTATTTCGATATACTATGAATTTTTTTTCATTGCTTAGATGGCTGGCCGACCTCACAGCTCACCTGGTGTTAAGTGGTTACTGGAGCCTATAGACATCTACAACATAAATGTGCCACCCATCTTGAGATATAAGTTCTAAGGTCTCAGTATAGTTACAACGGCTGCCCCGCCCTTCAAACCGAAACGCATTACTGCTTCACGGCAAAAATAGGCAGGGTGGTGGTACCTACCCGGGCGGACTCACAAGACGTTCTACCACCAGTAATAAATGAAGTAACCTTACGTCATAATTTGCGGCCCGGTGAAGTAGATCTCTAAAGAAGACAAATTTAAATTTTGAACTATTGAGGAATTTAAAAACGAACTGAATTCATTTTATGAATACAAACTTTAAAAAAAAAATGAAGTCGCTTTTTTTTCTTCACTCTTTCTACACACACCTTTATTCATCCTACAACTTACATTAAGTATTTTGTTTGAAATAAATTTATACTATGTAAATTATTTTACTGTGTAGTTTCGGATTGAATGACGTAAAATGAAAAGAAAAGATAATGAATAAAGTTTATTTATGTAATTATTTTTACATATCACAATAGTTTTATTGAATTTTAAATAACGTTGCTTGTAAATAACGCCTTTGATGTTAATATGCCTCAGTGAGTATCATGAGTGATGTTTTTTTTTAAAAAGAATATGTAATTTTAATGTGGTGCCTTGAAAGTGTAAAATGCGCGTTTTAATTTGAGATTGCAAAACTATAGCGTATGGTTACGTTAATAATGAGCGTAGTTCAAGTCAAAGATTAATGTATAATTTTGAATAAATATTAACATTAGACAATAAAAGGAATTTACGCGATTTTAATTTCGACCCACGCACCGCAGTATTTTTTAAATATAAAGTATTTTATTTGGTTGTAATTGCTGCTCCACTCTAAGATGTGAGTTGTGAATCACTCAACTCTATGACCTACTATTGCTCTTATACCGGTAAATACTATGATATTTTTATACCACTGTGAATTCCAAAGGAGACTTCAATCAAACGCTGTTGGAAAGTGTCGCGCGAGTGTAATGACCGAAACGATCTGTGAAATTCCAGCCTTCGCGAATATGATGTAGCTTAGTCCCAGAAAGCTTTAGATAGGATAAACTATATCGCCCTAAGGTTTCACCGTATTATTGCAATTCTGAGACCTTGCAGTCATATAATATATGCGGAATATCGGTGAACACAATCATTAGAACGAGTACGTGACGCGAAAGTAAATTATATAAATTATCGCGCTCGTATTACGTAGGTGTTCTATGGTAGATCTCTCCAGAATGGTCATACTGCAAATATGCAGTTTTATTCTCATAGGTAGTCATAACACAGCAGCAGTCCCGTTCTAAATTTCACAGCTGGAATTTAACGATATATAACAAGTTTTTATAACGTATGACCGAAAAATGCGTGTAAGATACAGTACGTCAGTTAAAAGTTAAGTCAATTCCATCTCAAATCAGTCATCAATTATGACAAAATCCTGTTTTATCCAAGCACACTGCTGTCCACACAAAAAGATCGCAAACAAATGCTTTAAGGTTGGAAATTGGCGACGTTTCTAAACGACAACGGCGAAATTCTGATCCCCTGGTATTAAAACACCGCACACCCCCAAACATCACTGAGGCTTTGGGATCAGTGACACCTGTTTTTTAATGTAGGTATATGTAACTATTCGATACTTTTCCCGTTTAGGTTTACCATTCACTTAAAACCCTAAACCAATTAGTACGGTAATAGAAACTGTCTACACCGAACTAAACCCTAACGCAGAAGACTTTTTGTTACACCCTGTATAATTACGTAAAATTAATATTCATATTAAAAAAAAAAGAGTAATGTTGCTCTTCTTGACTAATTTACCGCTTGCATTAGATACTTTCAAGGACACGACATTCAATTTCGTATATATTTGTTTCAACACTGATGCTGCATAATTGAGGTTTTATTGTATCTCCAGTAATATGTATTTTGTGTCTGCTGTACTTAAATTAAAGTACTAATCTGTGCACCGCAAATATTTTGAACTTTTCTTTTGTTTCTGTTGCGCGTGTTACTATAGTTTCTAAAAGATAAGGTGTTATTGATGTAAAGACGTGTATAAATTAAAAAAAAAAACAGGACTTAACTGTAAGATGTTTGACATAATATTATTATTATCTCCGTTTTGTTCGTTGAAGTATGTTGTATGCTAATGAGTAGATATTGAGGTGTTATGTGTGATTAAATTAAATACTACTTCCATTTTGTTGTACTATTTCATAGCGAGCACATACCTGATCGAGTAGAAATGAAGGGTGAAAGTTTTTTTTTTTAAATACTAAGTCAAAGGAGTCTTGCAAGTGGTTCAGTATCGATCGTCACAATCAACCAAGACTTCTTTACGTTTTTGTTATTGAAAAATTATATATTTTTTGACCAGGACAAATAGAATATTTTTACTGGTAATTTTAACGTAATTTGTTTAATCCGTTTAACTGATTGGACGATGAATATCTCTATAAACCTCTCTATAAAATTGGTTAAACTAAGGCGTGCAAAATCTTTGCATCTTGCAATAGAACTTTTCTTGAATATCGGTATACGCGCGGACAGTGATGTTGTCATAATTTCCGTCTATATCTAGATAGCCAGTTAAAAAAATATCACTTGTATTCTCATTGAAAAACATTTTTGACATATTTGATTTGTCAATTCAGTAAAAGAAAAACGTTTATTTTTTCAAACTTTGAATTGTTAATATTTGATCACGTGAAATTTATACTTGTTTCAATACATAGTGATCGGGCATGTTTGTATTTTGAACATCGTAATGAATGGATTTACTGAATACGTTTGCCTTGAAGATTTATTGGTTGAAAAAAAATTGTTATTCTTATTGATTATTATTACAAGTGGTCGCATTCCCGCCCTCGGCGAGTTATGTACCAAATTTATTTCTTAATTCCTGGACATTTCTACTCTATTAGAAATCATGTATTCGATGACTATTATGAATATCCTTTTCAGTTTCAGCGCATGAGATCTCATTAACCATTCCATTGCTTGTCGTGATAATAATGATACGTTTTAGGATCTCTCATATTCTTTTTGAGTTTGCTCAAAATTTTCTTTTTTTATTTTCTTGTAAAACTTGTGTACTTATTGTTAATGAAATTTGTAAGACTGTATTTTATTTCGTTTTGTAGCAATGTTAGTTATTACTTCAGGTTAATAATAATAATACAGTTATTTTGAAATTAAACTTTTTTAATTTTTTTTAAATTTCCCGTATACGACAGAAATAAATAACACAGTAACTAAATAAAAATAATTTATTTAAGAATGATCGTTATATATTTTCGTGAGATACGACCGGAGCTCTGGTCGCCGTGACTAGACTGTACACTCAACATTTCTTAAATTATACATAAATAATGGTAATTTTCCTGTACAAAACAGAAAACTCAACACTTAGTTTTAAACGTCATACTTCTACTTAATGTAAATAATAAATTATATCACTAATACTCGAGTATTAGAAACGATTAAAACCACCGAAAATAATAAATATTTCACACTGCCAAGACAATTAAAATAGCTTTATCTAAAATTAAAAATGTTAGTCTTATTTTTTTTTTTATTAAAATTCCAGTAACCGTCCTATCCCCGGTTATTTAAATTTTAAGATGATGGCAAGACCGTTTTTTTTTGTCAACTAGCAACACATGAGTTCCATGAGTTGTGTGACAAGGCTACTAAAACTGCACTGTGGTGGTTAATGGTATTATTGCAGCATAATTAGGAACATCGAGCAGTCGTTAGTGCGCTGAAGGAGGTCACGCGTCGCATCTTTAGAATTCGGTGTCCCCAAGTACATTGAACATGAGACGTTTGAATGAATTCGACTGTTGAATGTGTTCTTCGTGTAGCGAATTTACCTAAAACATAAAACATCATAATTTAAGTATTAAATTATATAATAATTATTATAATTATAGTTATTTAGAGTATTAAGCGGTAGGCAGCGGCTTGGCTCGGTCCCTGGCATTGCTGAAGTCCATGGGCGACGGTAACCACTCACCATCAGGTGGGCCGTACCCTCGTCTGTCTACAGGGGCAATAAAAAAAAAGTGCGAATTATCGTAGCGTGGCAAATGTATGAAACAAGATTTTTATGGTAAGACACGTATTTATAAATTTTTCATAAAGGTACAATAACAATTTAAAAAAAAAGGTAAATGATACAGATAACCGAAAACAATTGAGATCATTAGTAAAATTGATGATTAAATTGTCTTGTTTTAATTTCATATTATTGATATTTTTGAGTTTGTTAAAATTATGATACTTCTATAGGTTTGTTCAAATATCAATCACTATGACTAGTATTTTAAATCAATTTTTCAAAGAAAGCTTACACATCAAGAAATGTTTAGGTTAGAAACAATTGAATAAAATTTGGAATATTAAAATCATCGATGTCTTAAATTTATGCCTTTACGTAGTTAGAGATTTTAAAAAAGAAAAAAGAATTTCTCTTACGAAGGTCGTTTGTTTTCCTTTCGGTTTCGCGTCGGACTGCTTCGTCGGTTTCGGTGTAGGCGCTGGCCTCTGAAATAAACAATAATTATAAAATCATATACGTACCTCTGAAATTTTATAGGTGTACTAGAGAAGAGCTTATTACAGCTACTCGTGAACTGGAAGTTAAGCTCAAGGGCTCAACCTTAGAGAATTTGCTAACACTAGCCCTAGCAAGAGAAATAGCTTATTACAGCTACTCGTGAACTGGAAGGTAAGCTCAAGGGCTCAACCTTAGAGAATTTCCTAACACTAGCCCTAGCAAGAGAAATAGCTTATTTACAGCTCCTCGTGAATTGGAAGGTAAGCTCAAGGGCTTAGAGAATTTGATAACACTAGCCCTAGCAAGAGAAATGCTTCGCTGAATCTACCACCGGATCGAATAGCGACCCACCGATGACTGAACCGGCGAGAGTCGAACCCACGAACTCGTGTGTTAGTATTGTTATCCGGCACGCCTGCCCTTAAAGTAGTCGTGAGGTATATGATCACAAGTTGGGTATATATATATATAATATATTGGGTATATAATTTTGCACAAGCAACACAACAACCAAAAAAAGTTATGGTTTATTTACTTTATAGTTACCGACCAAGTATATTGTTCGTAGTTTTAAAAATGTTACTGTTGGTACGACGTCTTATGAGTCCGCAAGGGCAGGTACCGCCACCACCTATACCATCCTGCCTATTTCTGCCGTGAAGCAGTAATGCGTTTCGGTTTGAAGGGCGGGGTAGCCGTTGTAACTATACTGAGACCTTAGAACTTATATCTCAAGGTGGGTGGGGAATTTACGTTGTAGATGTCTATGGGCTCCAGTAACCACTTAATACCAGGTGGTCTGTGAGCTCGTCCACTCATCTAAGCAATAAAAAAAAAGGCCCTTCGTACACAAGGCTACGCAAATCTTAGATACTCGACGATTTTAGTCTCCAAGCGACTACCGCCATAGAAATCGATTGAGGTTCGTCCCGCGACTCGCGTCGTGCCAATCGCGCGCGACCTGTCTGTCGAGATCGCCGCTACATAAGTCTCCGCGATTTCCAAGATGACGGAACAATTTTTTAATATTAAATTTCTTTCTGAGGTGGAAAAATATCCTTGTTTATATAATTATAAATTAAAGGAATACTCAAAAAAGGAAATAACAGAAAAAGCTTTGGGTAGCAGTAGGAAAGGCCGTTAATATAACAGATTGGTATATTTTTATAGTTTTAAACTTAGTCAGTACATAGTTTTGTAAAGAGAAAACACTTTTTGGCAGTATATTATTTTTATTAAGCTTTTGTTTTAGGTATTTACACGAATTTTTTGTACATTTTATTATGATAGCCGATGTTGTAAGCCGGATTGCCGACGTTGTTGTTGTGATCTACCAGATATCCGTATCCACTAACCCATAAACAATACAAGTAATAACTGATGTTAAATTAATGGTAAAAAAATGATGGTAAATTAATAGTATAGTGACTAAATAGGCAACTCACGTCTTGCGATTCATTGTCGTGTGTACGGACCGTGTGCTACTCGATACTCGCGACTTGATCCTATTGTCGTTTACAATATTAGTATCGAAGATTTGCGTGGCCTTGTGTACGAAGGGCCTTAGTCATACGATAGATTAGAGTAGATTACCTTGCTGGTCGGCGCTGTGAAGACCTTGGTGGCGACGGGCGCGGAGAGCTCGGTGGCGGCGTCGGGCAGGCCGTCCTCCTGCAGCGCGCGGTACGTCTCGGACTTGGCGGGGTCGTACTGCGCGGCCGGCCTGGGGCTGCGGTGCGGTGGCGGGCGCGGACGCGGACGAGGGCAGGTTAGTATTTAGTCGGTTAGCGGGCGCGACGCAATCATAACGACAGAAAACATTAGACTCGACACCGCAGGACGTTTAGTTAGCGGGGGACGCGGAAGCGGTTAATGCACGCGTTTACACGTTTAGTCGTGTTTGTGTTTGAGGAAGGACAGGTCGATAAAAATACTAACATTAATCATGTAGAATAAGTCTTAAACTTAATTAATTTTTTGATAAATAAATCGATTACTTTATTAATTTAAACTTATGAACTATTAATTTTTTTTTTGTGTGAATTAAACACCGGTCCGCAACGCGTTCGTTGTTTTAGCGCGTCAACAGAGCGGGTTCTAGATTTTCTGCTAACAGATCGACGACGTGTTCATGCTCGTAAAAAGACACAGATAGCTTGGCGTGAAACAGATAAATAGTTTGCAAGAATCGAAAGATAGCGTAATAAATTGATAAAAGCATTAATGCGTCAATAAGGATGTGCGTCGACTGTTGCATTGTGGCGTTTCTAGTAAAAGACTTGCCTCTTGACAACGTGCGGCCGTCCGTAATGGCCGTTAGTTCTAAATGACCAAACAAACACTTTATTATTGGCTGAACGTTTACTCCATGATTCGAACAATGTACGGTGTGCTTAGTGCGAGTTTCTTAACGTTCTCGGTAGCGTAAAAGTTAAGCCAATTTTGTATGCAGTTGGAACAGCGCCCCTAGCGGCAAACATACGCAAACGATCCCATTCCATACAAATATATGAGCTAACTTTTACGCTATCGCGAACGTTAAAAAACTCGCACTAAGCACACAGTTAATATAATCTATGTGACGACGAATCCAATGTTTTGCAGAATCACCTTAATTAGCGTATTGCGATAAAGCTTAGGATTTTTCTTTTTGGAATTTTGTATTTACAGTAAATATTGTCCATACAGAATCGTGTCCAATTGGAATATTTTCATGGATCCGACCGCTTAGTCTGGCATACGTCCATGTTGTTAAAATCCAGTGCCAAGAAATGTGCGACCTTACAGACTGACTGACACGCTGAGACTATAATATACTTGACATTGNAGCGTATTGCGATAAAGCTTAGGATTTTTCTTTTTGGAATTTTGTATTTACAGTAAATATTGTCCATACAGAATCGTGTCCAATTGGAATATTTTCATGGATCCGACCGCTTAGTCTGGCATACGTCCATGTTGTTAAAATCCAGTGCCAAGAAATGTGCGACCTTACAGACTGACTGACACGCTGAGACTATAATATACTTGACATTGGAGTTTGTGGGAAAACATGTACAGCTTCAGTTTTCGGATACCATTATGTGTATCAAGAGTTCGTTTTTTTTTTATTGTCCTTGTAGGCAGACGAGCATACGGCCCACCTGATGGTGAGTGGTTACCGTCGCCCATGGACTTCAGCAATGCCAGGGGCAGAGCCAAGCCTCTGCCTACCGAAACCGTTTGCTCGGAACGTAAGCTCATAAACAAATATTTGTGATACTCACGGCAGAGGCGAAGTTTGCTGCCTGATAGAGTTTGCAATGTTCTGTTCCGAGTATAGATTGATTGGAGAGTTGAATTGCTTGTGCAACACCTGGAAACAATGTTATTATGAGACGATTTACTAATGATTAGCTCCTTGGAAGATAGTTTAGAAACAATGAGAAATTCATTAAAAACTGCTTACATGTATGGAGCAATTAGATTTCGGCGGCTAAATTAAGTGTTAGCTGAATGAAACATTGAGTTCAAACATTCAAACATTCTCGAAATTCAAGGCGGTGAAGATCCGAAATAGATATGTGCCGTCATTTAGAAGCGCAATCATATTATATATGAAAATGTATGTAACGACATGCTCTCGACACCATCTCGCGGAGTATTTAAAGTGGTTTAAACATCGAATACAAATTTAGGACCAGATCAATACAAATATAGATGAAAAACAAAATAAAATAATAGCCGAATGAAGTGACGACCGGCTTCGTAAAAGAAGTTTGTAACGGTACATGCTCGAAGCTGATTTTATCAAACATTTTGATGAAACAACCTTAGGTGCCTCTTCGCCAACCACTCGCTGCAGCACCGACTCTGCCACCTGAGTTTTTTTCAAAAATATCACATGTATACTGCCCTTAAATCAAGTTTACAAAACAAATAATGAACCCAATAAATCTTAGTTATTAATACGCTTTTTATTAGCTTCAGACGTATGTATGTTTGTAACGGAATCTTTGAACATGATTTTGACCCCCTTCAAAACGTCGGATTAACTCGAAATTTGGTATACTTATTAAGAACCGATAACAATATTAAAAAAAAGATTGAAAAAAATATTGAAAAAATTGAAATTCAATTAAAAAATGAAAAATAAATAATAGTTTAAAGTTGGATTTTCTATAAAAGCGTATTTTGTTACTTTTTTTTTTAAATATTCATAGCTCTAAGACTGGACAGTGGAACTAGTTAGCAACATCAATGTGAGGGTAAATGATTTTGACGTTAAAAAAGTAACTGCCTACAGCTGTTTGGCACGGTTTCAAACGAATTAGTATTCGTTAATGTATATGTATGTTCTTGAAGGAAAAAAAAACTTTTTGTTTTGTGAAGTCCTCTATAGATTATGATCATTGCATATATCACATGATTTTACTTTGGTGAAACTTCGCGATTTTCGGTTCTGCACATGATGAGAACGAAAAAAAACCCCACATTTCGATAGAGATGTTGCATTTAAAACTAACTCGTAAATAGTGGATTGTGTGCCGTCATATTAAAATGTTGTATTGTTAGTGATGTATCTGTGCAAAAGAACTACTAGTGTATGGATTATAATATGTGCTTGTGAGCTCAATCAAAATGAATCCTTTATAAGCGAAAAGAAAGCTGCTAAGATGGCTGTACATTAAATCGCCACAGCATTTATGAATAAGTACATTATGGTAATATAAATTATTTTACAGTTCAAAATACCAATTTAATCTATTTGAAAGTAATTTTTATTCATTAATATTATAACTGATTGTTCTGAAAGTTAAAGTGGGTGGTAAACAGTATTGTAAGCCCGCACGACTAGGCTCCGGGCTTCGCCCATTTGTCCTGGTGAAACTAGAAAGGTCTTCGGGCTACCAGTGATACTTCCTTCCAAAAAAGGTTTGCATCATGTCTCCCATGTAAAGGCGTTCACATTGATACACTGGTACCCTCAACCACTTCATATAAGTGGGCCATCTGCTCATTTACACGTCTATGCAGTAAATAAAACAAACAGTTAACAATTACATTGAAATAATATAAACTTTACTTAGTCTTTGAACGTACCTTTTGTTTCATAAGGGTATCACGGTAGTCGTGGTTAGGAGGTGCCCTCATTGCTGGGTTGGGGTGATGACGCAGGTAACTCTCTGTGGGGCCAGGCTCCCTTCGGACTTTAGCTCCCGGGAGCACGAGAGGAGTGGTGCGGTACGGCTGTTAACAAAAACAAAAGTAAACTGAGTCTTTCATTTTAAAAAAAAAACATAATTTTTTTGATGTATCGATTCTATTTGCGAAGCGCCTGCATTTAAACAATTTGATGCTTTTAACTAAACCCTTATTGTCCACGACAACTATAGAGTGCGATTCGTCTTCCGTTGCAATATGATTAAAGTAAATGTGTGATTAATCTCCAGTTTTCATCTGTTTAACTTTATCATTCATTGCATTGGAATACCGAGAGGCATTATCTTGAATTTTCTTTTACTACACTCGTAAATTAGAAGGTTACCCGCTATAAACTATGGTTAGGCTTCGCTTAACACCGCATGAGAATTGGAGCTTTTCAGCCTTTGTGAATAATAATGACAATAATAGAATAAATAATAATAAGCAGATAATGCCCCTAAATTAAAAAAATCGAATAATAATTGACGTGACCAATGATGGAACGTTTTTAAGGAGATCGCCAGTACTTTATTAACATATGGCTGCAAAGTAAAGGTTTCAAATAAAGTATTATAATAAACTGACTTAAATTATTGTAACCNGCTTTTCAGCCTTTGTGAATAATAATGACAATAATAGAATAAATAATAATAAGCAGATAATGCCCCTAAATTAAAAAAATCGAATAATAATTGACGTGACCAATGATGGAACGTTTTTAAGGAGATCGCCAGTACTTTATTAACATATGGCTGCAAAGTAAAGGTTTCAAATAAAGTATTATAATAAACTGACTTAAATTATTGTAACCAGGGTCTGTTATTTGCTTGACCTACTTATAGATTATATCTAAATAAGTTTAATCTTTTAAACCATTTTCTTAAAATATTCAGAACGTAACCTTTGGAAATCTTGAATGTATATTTACTCAATTACACTTGAATGTATTCGCTTAAGCGAAACTATCGCATTATCAAACAGATTACAGAGACTTTCCGATTGTTCGCTGGTATTTTAATAATAATTGTAGTTTTCGTTTTTATTCAATTATATGTATTTTATAACTTTGAATTTTAACTTCGATTTGTCCACCGATTTGTACAAAGATAAAATTAGATATCGGAGGTTAGCTGTCCGGATAAAAATGTCGATAAACTTCTATTTCGGAATATTGTAGCGAAATATATAAGTTGGTTGGATAGAGCAGACGTTAGGTATTCGACAGAAATAATATTAAGGGTCGCAGTTTGTCGCCAAACTATTAGTCAAACCACTCAAGCAATTAAGACACTCGAATTTCCTCAGCAAAATTTCGAGTCAAGGCGATTTTCCAAAGTCTGAACTGACAGAATTAATATTCAAAACTTGGACATTAACATCTAAATTGAACTAAGCTAAATTGAACTAAGCTTTATCTTATTTTGTCGAGTAAAGTTGTTGAGTAAGCATTGCATTGGATGAGGAGGAGGACTGTTTGTTAATCGTGAGGATCAAGATTTTAATTTCACTTATTTCGAATAATTATGAAGGCACTGATTTTGTAGAACGTAGATAATTTCAACACTAAAATTTGTACAGATATTTGTTTCAAGATTAGCTTTTAAACAACAGGAATGAAAAGGGAGATCGAGCTTGAAGTTTGAAAATAAAGTTTTTCTTGGTGTTGGGTCAAGAGCGCTATTTGATCATGAAAATCAGCCAAATGTTTCTCGCGGAACGTGCTATGTACATTGCGTCGTAAAACAACAGTAAATTTAAAACAACGATTTTATTGCCATTGTTAATAACTGACTACGTACGTTTGTGTTGCTGAGAATTGCCATGACTAATCTGTTCAATAATAAGTTTGCAAAATCTTTTCTAAAAAAATTTTTCTGTGCGTATGTGGTAAGCCTAAAATTATATCTATCAATATATTTAAAGTACAAAGTGTAACTTTTTTAATTATTTCGTCAAAACATCTTTACTTGAATATCCTTTTTGGGCTTTTGATGGACAAACGAGCTCTAGGCCTATCTGGAGTTAAATAGTTATGGACTCCTCCAGTGGCATCAAAGTGTGAACACCCCCACGCAGCTTGAATCCCATTTGTATTGTAGTCGGCGAAGTCCCATTTGTATTTTACTGGTATGCATCTTTCAAATCGGAACGTATATCGGCTTCGCAGCAGAAATAGGCAGGATACGGTATGGTATGGTAAGATACCTGTCTGTGCCTTCGTTTTCTTCGCGATACTTTTGCCCATTTCATCTTCAATGCACGATGCCTTTCCATCATGGAAGTTGTTCATGAAAACTTATTGGCTATGTATGTATGTATTTAAATACAATAATCTCTATTCGTGCGTAAGATCCAGTCTAATTCATTTGGTCATAGTCATTTCATATTTCCATTCGGAGTTTGAGTTGTTTAGTATATTGACAACTCGTGTGATTGCTAATCAAAAAAGGAATTAAAAACAGAAGCATAAGGGATGAAAAGGGCAAATTATTGAATGCATTTTAAGTAAACCTTACGCATCAAGGTGTTTAACGGTATTCAAGTATTGTTGTCTATGAGCATCTGCTGCCACCATGTAAGATTTTTTTATTTATCAATGTAGTTAAATAAATTATGAAATGAACGAATCATATTCATTTTTTTAATGTAGCACGCAAAGAAAAGACGTAACGCAACTGAGATATTTTTAAATATCCAATGTTGCAATTGGGTTATCATTTGTGCGCTGTTTTATTTCGTTCTTTGAATTTAGGCCACAGAATGGAAACTTTTTTCATTTCTAAGCATTTACGATAGACACTTTTTTATACATTATAAAAAAAGTCATATTTTGTCAATTATAAACAGTATTCACTGATGGCTTGTAATAAGGTATGAGTCGAAAAAAAATAGAATTTTATTTGCGTCTGTTTACAATACGTCAACTAAGTATTCGGATGGTGACGCAACGTTCATTCGCTTCCAATAATAAGTTGCAAATAAGAATTTCTCGTGTTCTTCACACGATAACGGCTAACTCATTAATTTCCAAATAGTTTACTTTAAAACGTTTTGATTTGATTTTATTGAGAAAATGCGAGAGTTACGATCAATTTAAGGTTTTGATTGGGAAATTAGAGCATATGTTTTAGAAATTTTCATTTTTGTTAAGAGATAATTGATTTCACAGATTGGGGATTCAAAGGTGCATCCACAGTGCAAGAATTTGCTGATAAATAAAGAAAAAAACAAGAGAAAGCATTCATAAATTGACCAAAGCTACACAAAATAGTAATTCTATTTATTAAACATCTTAATCATTATTCAATGATGATGCATACAATTAGTTTAGTTGTTTATATCGCATCGACGTCCAATAATAGTGGCCATATCGATGACGCTTTTGTTCGCATTACAATGTGTACGTACAATGAGATCAATATAATTTGATGCATGATTAATCTGCTATTACGGCCGAATATCTTGGCAAGTTTGCATTACATCCATACACGTTATCCACGCCGAAAAATCATGTGGGTGTAAAAATTTTAGCGGCGTGACATTGATGCGAAAATAGCTGTGGGGCTGGCGATTGTATATCATGAAGATGTGGTATGATCAATAAGAGCAATAATAATTCTAGTATTTTATTATTGGAGCATTGGTTGAGTTCTCTTTCAAGGAATTGAGAACCGAAACGATTAGTTTTATAATTTTCGTTTAATGTTGAAAGGAAGATAATACATTAATGGCGTCGCAATTAAACTACCAATTGTTGAAAACCAATTTTCAAATAAAAAAACGTTTGGCGGTTTGGCAAAGTAATGTTCCTAGAATATTATTACTTAAAATCAAATCCAATATTACTAAACCTCGAAACAGAGCAAACTAGAACATTTTAAAGTAAAATCAAAAAACAATAATTTAAACTTGAGCACAATTAGGTAATCTGTTTGCTGTAATATAACTACTGAAGCGAGGGATCATAAGTCCATGGATGAACCCTAGATAACATATTGCAATGTGTGCTTTTAAAAGAAGCGAGGCATATAAATTTAGCAAGTAATGAATACAAAAACCAGTGGATTGGACATTATGACCCAGAAAGCACAGAGGAAATGATTTACAGTGGTTTTCGTAAGAGAGATGTGAGATGAAAATAGATTAGAGTATTCGAGAGTTTCCAGACCAAATAATTATAATGTAATTGTAATATGGTACCGGATAAATCAGAAAATATATTTATGCTCAATAATTGACGAATTGTTTCGCGCCATAATTAAAATAACTCAAAATACTGAGTAATGGTTAATCTTTTTTTATTTTATAAATTGAAAGGCCATAGTATAACACTAAGATATTATGTATGTGTTCTTCCGGAAGCTATATTATTTTATTACTTACAAACAATTTTCAGGAAAATTACATCGTTAATATGACGAGTTATTACATCACATATTTTGTAACACTACGCGCGGCTCGAGTGTTCCAAAATTAGAAAACTTTTCAATAACGAATTTCTTCAACTCATTCTCACATTTAACACTTAGTGTAATGTTAATAATTAGTATTTATGGCTTTTTAGTAAAAACAATATGTATTTATATATGGTAATAGTGGACGTTATAAAGATGCAATGATTCCACAATGAGTGACACGCACCCAGTTGCTGACAACTTCTTCTTCAGGATGTTTAGGATCCTGGTATCCGTTCGGGAAGAAGTTGGGGTTGAGCGACATTGTTACACTTGTAGGTATGGACGTGTATCGAACAGAGAGCGATCGCGTACTGCGGCTCCAGTCGTTCCCTCGTCAGTAAACAACGCGATTTCAATGCATTCTATTTTGGAATTATGGCGGGAAAATAGGCGTCGTCGGCGTGGGCGAGAACCTTCTGAATAGTTACAGAGCCTTGCGCCACATAAGACATTTGTAATTTACTGCATCGAAACTAAAAATTTAAAATAAAATGTGCGGAATAACAAAATGAAGCATCTAAATATATAATATTCAGTAGAAACTGTACGTACTTTATTGAAATATGCGGGTTTAATTTAATAATGTTTCACCGGTTCCATTCGATTTTATTTCCGCGTTTCATTCCAAAAATGATAATGGCAATGGAAGTAGTAGTTGCCACGGAGTGGAGGGAATGGAATGGAATGGAAAGTACTCTGGACATTCATGAGATAGATGACATAGGTACAATTTTCGAATGACTCTTTGGAATTGCGACCAATTCTCTATAAAAGGCCCATAGTAGTAGTAATACTAGTAAACATCTTTTTTCTCTATTGCCCTCCATATTCCTAGTTGAGTAGGTACTGGCGATACCAAAGTAGTGTGTTGGGCTCGTACTGGCATCATGTAGTCCGGTTTGAAGCAGAGGAAAACCGTTTTAAAAGTGCTTTAGAGGTTTCAACCTCTCGCCGGATCTTCTCAGTGGGTCGCATTTCCGATTCGGTGGTAGATTCTGCGAAGCGCGGCTCTTGGGCACGGGTTCGTGTTAGCAACGTCATCAGGTTTGAGCCCCGTGAGCTCACCTACTAGCCACGGTTACGCTGAAATAGCCTCTCAAGGCTATCAGCTTAGGTAGGAAAAAAAAAAAGGTTTCGACCTCATTTTTCAAGGATGGTGCCATCATATACACGTTGTTAATTAGCTCTGATAATAGTTTAAGATCACTAGCCCATTTAGACCGAGAGAAAGTTCTTTGATAATGGTGATTGGATGCAACAACGTGTTATTTTGTTAAAAACATCCGGCACCTCTGGCTCTAGTTTTTCTCTGCTTATATCGTTATGCTCATAGTCTATGTGATGTGTGCAGAGGATTTTTAGAGATGATGGCGTCCTCTATTTTTAAAATTGTATTTATCACATGCCACCGAAGCAAAGTTCATGTCTTCCATTTAATTGAACTGTTACAAAGCCCGTTTCAAGTAATGCTTTCAGTAATTTGTTATCTGGCTTTTGAATGAACTCTCCTTCTCTGTGTATTGAGGATTGCTATGACTTACCTTGACGCACACATAAAATCACCCTTGAATAACTTTTATTCCGTCAACAATATATTTGTTCCCAACAGTTAGTTTCATTTTACATAATATTTAAGGGCACTTTTCTTGTTGCTGAGGACTAAAGACTAATAAATAAATTACAATAACGATTAACAAATAATAAGTCTCTTGCAGATTCTGTTTGTTTGCTTCGTATTTGCGTTGTAGCTTGCAATATTTTGTCGTGTGACATTGGGTTTGATCAGTTCTAATGTATTTGCAACGATATCATCTGTTGGTAATCTTAAACACATTCTGTTTTTAAATTTCAAATACAAATTTGTGATAATTGAAAACTATAGCCACATTGATATGATTAAAGTGACCTTATTCTGTTTTCGTAATATTATCTGCGTTTCTACGTTTATTTTTCTGTAATTTTTGCTATTTTTGGTTAAAATAACACGTTTTATGGTTCAAATATATGTTTTCAAAACGTATTAACATATTCTACACAGATCGGCAGGCGTATATTTCAAATAATACTGTTTTAAATTTGAATTTGTTCTTTCCATAGACAACGTATGCAGAGTTAGAAATAAAGCCACCGCAATCGTCTATTAATGCGATTCGTGATTCAGAATCTGCGCAAATTTAGACTCAGTCGAGAATGTTCTAAAACTTCGATGAATTATTACTGCATACCAACCGGTATACCCTATATAACGGAGCCTAATGTTGATAGTGTCGTCGGCCGTTCTAATTAATAATTGAATATCGTAAAGTTGGCATGGCTCCAAAATACGTCACGTTTCGATTTAGCTAGGTTCAGTTAACCTATTTCGCTGAAAACATCAAGGATTAGGCCGATAATGCTGTACGAATGTACCGAGACCCCAAGGTTAACGCTAGAAATACTGACCTGTATACAGTATGGCCTATCAGAAAGTCTATAAAATCTAGAATAGACGTAATACTTATTCGATTTGCTTAGATTCAACGATATTTCAAACTACGGAAAGTTCTATCGGCTTCGACCAAATAATAGTTTTAGTCCTCTCCCACGACTTCTGCTTCTTCTACTGATTGTTGCCAGATCATGTAGTTTTTAGAAGTTTTAGATGCTTTTAGATTGAGAAGGTTACTACTGAGAATCACTTATATATTACATCAAGAATCCTCAGTCTCAAAACTCGTTTAAATGATGCCATATACTAATTATTCTTTCACGATTTATATTTTTTATACAAAGTCCGATCTTCAGTAACGTATGCTACAGCAAATTGTCATTATTATTAAACACGTCGTTAAAAACGTTAATGTCCCTTTTCTAATTTTTATAACGTAAATATATCGTTGGAAAGAGGTCGGAAAAGAATCGTGACGAAACATAGGCCGGCTACGCTGGTAGCCGTCATTTGGCCTCTTACCAAATTAAATATGACGGCATATTAGTAGTTTGGGTTGCAGTTAGCCTGACGAATTGTTACATTGAACTAATTTGATGCGATATGCGTGTTCAATACATACACATGAACGAAAAGTATTATTGCAATCTATACGATATTCATTAGGTATAAGTTGTCTACAAAATGTGGCCAAGAATAACAGTTATAGTACATATTATTATAGTATACTAGTCGTACTCGTCCGCTTCGCTGGGCATTTAAAATTAACATTTTATTTATTGTCATTATTATCAGGGAGTTCAACACTTGTATAAATATTAGCCTATCCATTAAGTACATGTATTTTCTACATGGATACCAAGTTTCAAATCAATCGGATGCATGATTCAGTAGTTATAACAGAACATCTGTAAAAACTACTGTAGATTTATATATTACTATAGAGTATAGATAGTAATTGAAGTTACATAGTAGATTTAGACTTGACTCTGGATGTGGTGGCTACGTAAATGTAGATTGCTACAGTCAAAGAGCACTCGAATTCAATTGTTTTTTTAATCGTAGTACCTGAAAAAGTTAATGAAAAAAGCCCCACATGAAATAGGTACCTCGGGTGAACAGAACAGGACTTTCCTTAGTTTAATAAGCGGGTATTTTTAACCAAATTGTGATGGGTGATGAAAAGATGATACGGTAATTACAGGCGAAAAACGCAATGGAACAAAATCATAAAGGGAAGATAATAGAAATAGAATAGAAAAGATTTCTGTTTCACAGTCACTTCACTGAGTGTTTCTTTTTAACTTTTTGAGGTTTTGCACATCAAGAACAGGAAGATAACTCTTGCGAATAATGATGGAGAAGCTCTCAGAGAAACAATTTGGATTCGTCAATGGATCTTTGCCATTTAGCCGAAATCGGTAGTGAAAAAAATGTTCTCAGGAGGCTGTGACAAAATACCTTCCTTAGACTGGCGAGTCCTGTATCTAAGTGTTAAAATTATTATTAGAAAAGCAAAAATTTTATTCTACGACAAGGCCAGAATGTATAGGATAATACTTCGATGAGATTTAATATTTAGGTACTTAAAGTGCGGTTGAGTTTTTCAATATAATCCACATTAAAACTATTTTAAATTTATTTTCACGTTTCTTCTTTTCAACGGTTCCATTGTTTTACAGTATTCGTACATCGATCAATTACCACCGATGTATTCGTGGTTATGGACGACTAAGGTGTTATTCATCGACATTTGAATGTTGGTCTGACTGTTCTAATTATATAGGTACTGTCAAATTTCTATAGTAGTAGTTTTATTTTTCCAATTGGAAATGCAAAGGTGTCATACTATACAGCCTAATCTTATATATATGTATATAAACAAATCAGACAACTTCACTCCTCGCGCTCCCGCCAAAAAGTCTCAAATCTATATCTATACTAATATATAAATCTACAGTGGTTTTTACGGATGTTCTGTTATGACTACTGATCCATGCATCCGATTGACTTGAAACTTGGTATCCATGTAGCAAACACATGTACTTAATGGATAGGCTAATATTTATATGAGTGTTGGACTCCCTACACCAGTTGCGGGGGCGTTAATGATGAGAATCATTGTGGGGGTGAGAAATGATAATGTTAATTTTAAATGCCCAGCGAAGCGAACAGGTACAGCTAGTAACTTATAATATCGATTATTGAAGTCCGGCAGCTTAGACCGATTTTTATGTGTGTAGAAGTAGTATGCGCTAGATATAAAACGGTAGTTTACTGCGAGATTAGGTCGTAAAAGTAGTTTTAATTACGTCTACGAGTCGCGAAATACTATATAGGTAAGCCATTTCATAGCCCCTAATAGCCCTTAATAGTAACAGAGAAATCAAGCGTTGTTGTATTTATTAAAACTAATAGACTAAGTGAAGAGGGCAATTAAAAACATTATATAAATATATATAGGGAAATAGACGAAACGTTTTAAATCAACTAATGCGGTTCCGAGATGTAAGACTTAGAAGTTTTCCTGGGAATCAAAAGGGGATATAAATGCTTCTTCACTATTGGAGATTGACAGTCTATTGATAATTCAATATACTATTGTATGTCCTTCGACAATAATCTTTATCTCCTACTTAATCGTTGGCAGCCTAAGGGCCATTCCAATGACGCGCGGTTTGGTAGACGAGCACATGGGGTTGAAGCTGGATGGGCTTACTAACACTAACCCTAGCAAGAGCAATGCTTCGCAGAATCTACCATCCGATCGGAATCACGACCCGCTGAGAAGACCTGGCGAAGTCTCTCGCCGGGTCTTTATATGTGGGTACCTTTATATAATACATTAAACGACTGACCTGACTCTGAATAGACTCATCGATGGTCTCATCGGTGCGCGTGGAAGAAGGCGACAGCAGATAGGTTCTGTATTCGCCGTCCAGTTGTGGCTGGAATTGCGATGGTGGCACCGGTGTGCTGCGAGGCAGAGATTCTGGACCACGCCATGACGGAGGCAACGGGCTTGGAGTCCTGCCGCGAAAACAGACATTAAAGAAAGTCTATTCATTTATTTATTTTCACATTGGAAATCAACAGCGTTACCGTAGATGCTTATTCTAAACAATACAGATTACCACGGCAAATTGAAGACAGTACATATGCTGTCCTATTCCAGCAAGAGTTAACCTAACTCAATAAACTATTATATATTTTATCTAATCATAAACATTTAATTCCTGTTTTCTTATTTGACATTACTAATAAACAAAATAACCTTATTCATTAACAACCTCATTAATAACATTATATCAACAGAGTAAGTTCATTGTGAATCGATGCATTTGTGTGTATTAGACTGTGCATGTGTAATAATAATAATTCGTTTAGATGTAAATTGTTTAAATGAATGGTAAATAAACTTTTACCCTCATTCTGTGGCAGTTGTATAAACATTAATGTCATTTATGCAGGTGTCTCTAACATTGTGTTTTAGAAGAAAAAATCAAGAGATTATTTAAACAAGTATCTTATATCAATTGTAACGTATAAGACATGTACATTATGTACAGAAACATGACAATGTATGGTAGTGATTTGGGGTGCAAAAGCGCAAATGATTTTGATGCTTATATTTTCTTTGTTCGTTGTTGGTAAATGGCATATCAATTCCAATATCCGCGTTTCGGGATTTGTCTAATGCTCCATACCTCGTCGTGAATAAGGAGGTAGTTATCAATGTTTACTTTTTTTTTCCTACCTAAGCTGATAGCCTTGAGAGGCTATTTCAGCGTAAACTTTACTAGTAGGTGAGCTCACGGGGTCCAAACCTGACGACGCTGCTAACACGAACCCTAGTAAGAGCCGTGCTTCGCAGAATCTACCACCGAATCGGAAACGCGACCCACTGAGAAGATCCGGCGAGAAACTCAGTGGGCTAAAATGTTTACCTGAATGGTGTGGCGCTTGCGTTGAGTATGGGCGAACGTGGCGCTAGTGGCGTGCCTGAACCTCTCAGTCCTTCGCGTTCCACGTCCCTAAGACATCACAACATGCTTGAACATGATCCAGACACACTACCGAATCAATTTAACGACAATACGGTACATATTACATCGAATCACACGAAAATGCCAGTCAAACTGCAAATGGCATCGAATTTGTTCAACATTGACGTAGCAATAAATATTAAAAACATAATTTTTTTTACCTATTCGCTAGTAGCCTAAGTGGCTATTCCACGCCTGAACGGGTAGGTGAGCTCACGGGCTCAACGTAAGATAATTGCTTCTTCAAACGAGGCTTGTGGAGAGTATTAAACGGTAGGCAGCGGCTTGGCTCTGCCCCTGGCATTGCTGAAGTCCATGGGCGACGGTAAGCACTCACCATCAGGTGGGCCGTATGCTCGTCTGCCTACAAGGGCAATAAAAAAATAAAAAATAAAATAAACTAGCCCTAGCAAGCTTCGCAGAATCTACTACACGCATCGGAATCGCAATCCACAGAAGATCCGCCGAGAAACTCAGTGGGCTGTGTATATGGGATTTTAAAAAGCTAAAGCAAAAACAAAATGGTGCGTCGTTGGAACATATTGCCATCTCGTTCGAGCTGCAACACCTTAATAGCGATGACGTCATAGATGGCATGATATTGATATGATATTGAAACCTTCATAACCGATCGGAAAGGCGTCCAATTTACTAATTTCTTGCTTAAAACGAATACAAAGAAAAAAAAATCAACATCCTTGATATTAATTTCGGTATTGTTGAAATAATCTATTTTAACAAGTGTTTCTGCACCTTATGTGTATATTATACATATAAAATATAGGCCAATTATAATTATTGCTGCATTATATTATCGTATTGTCGTTAAATTTCGAAATAACATACAGTATATTGAAAATAAGTGGATGTGCTATTCAAAAGGCAGTTTTATAATACATTCAGACAACAAATAATTACATACGAACATTTAAATTGAATGCTTCGGAACCATGCAATGTTTTTTATGTCAAAGTTTACAGCAATAATACATTTACCAAATACTAGTGTAACCATCTTATGTTTGAGTATAAACTTCATTTGTAATCCAATGATTCCGTGCTTACAACACCAAAGGTAGATTATTTTGCGTGCATCCTTCATGCAATTCTGTCATTGAATTTGGCTTTATCAATTCCTACTCAATCACGATATCGATTATTTAAACGGAAAGTCGTTAAAATCGTCTACGATCAGATATGATTTTTGCGATACAAAATATATTTTAACGAACTTTAAAAAAAAAGGATAGTTTTACATCGAGCATTTTTTTTAATAATCATAGACAAGGGATAGATACAGGGTGGGATATTTTGTCAAAATATACTATAGTTTTTAATTATTATTATTACTAGATAAATAACATTTAGGCACGACATTGAAGAGACCTCTATGTATACAGTCATGTCTTACTCGGCGAGCTCGTGATAAAATGTGGGTGTCGGCACACGGCCTACATAGCTGCCCGTCGTGCGTGGTACAGAGTATAGATGAGGACTCGAACCGCCCCTGTGATCACACTTACCGGCTAATAAATACGAGCTATAACAGTACTTTACAAAAAACTACAAATACGCATAAAATAGTTTTAAAAGTTACTCTAAACTAAGTTTTGATGAATAAACATTGTAGTAAACTATTTTTAAATGAAACGAAATGACAGACATCTTTATGAGATGATAGTGGTCATACTGTATTTATACTGTTTTGATGTTTAACACATTGAACGCCATGCGGCTCACCGCGGCACCGGTGGACCTAGCGTACTATAACTATTCGGGCCAAACCAAAATCAGGGAATCAGTAATTTTTATTAACTTGAAATTTTGATTCTAAAATTTATAAAACGCGATAAATTGCACGGAAGGTAAAAACTAGCAATGTTTACCATCTAGTTTTTAAGATATTTTATAAGGCTTATGATCTTGACGAAAACTACAACTTTTTATTGAATCTGAAAACCAAGGCGTTTGGTTCGGCTAAAGGGCACGCGGCTCACTTCAATACGCGTTTTGTTTTATAGCTGCAATCTGTGGCTTGTAAAAACATTTACATTAAAACCCTTGCACAACTAACGGACGACCCTCATGACCCGATCGGTTCAGCAAGATAAGACTCACGAGTGAGCACCGTGGCCTGAATGAATACTCGAGATTTCATGTGGCGTTCAACGTGTTAATACATTTTCTGAAAATATTTTTGCAAAATTCTGTCTTAAATTCTTCGCGGAGAATTAAAAGGTGTTTATTACCTTTGTATGACTAATTTAATCTGATTTGGAGCATTCTTGAATAGATTCTGTGCGTCCTCGTGTCGAAGGTCACGTGCGTCATAATCGTCGATCTTCGCGATGATATCCCCACGGACTAAGTCCCTGCCGGCCGGAGTACCTGGCGTCACCTGAAAACAGAAAATAGAAATTTGTTTCAGCTTTTTTGTTCGCCAATTAAAACCTTGTGTGCTTAGTATTATATTTTTTCGGTTTTAACGAGTCGGAGACATAATTAATTAAAACTACTTTTACGGTTTAATCTCGAGTTATTTACTGTCATCATAATATTAGTACCGATGTTTCGAACACTTTAATTTTCATTCTTGTGCTAACTAAAGTCTATGTTTCCATAAAAATATTTAGAAACTCTTCACAATATAAGTTATCACGCATTAATTGAATGTCAACTATGTATTTTCTCTATTAAAATGAAGATGTTTTTTATTTCCATGACCTCGCGTACCGTATATAGAATTAGTTCGTTTTCTTTAGCGAGTATTTGGATTTTGAGTAATCTTAAAAATTGTTAGCACTACTGTTCAGACTACGTTTATAAACTGAAGACTTGGATGGTCGGTTATTTTTGACATCTGCAACGTACTTGTGTGGTTATCAGAGACTATACAACAATGAGGATTGCATCAGTGTGCACTGTGCGAGTTTTTTAACTTCTCGATCGCGTTAAAGTTAACTCAAATTAATCTGTATAGAGTTGGAAGAGCTTCCCTTTGATTGTGCTAGGGGCGCAGTAGGGGCTATGCTGATAGCCTTGAGAGGCTATTTCAGCTTCATTCTAACGTGATTAACTAACGGGGCTCAAGCCGGACTGTTGCTAACACTAGCCCTAGAAAGAGCAGTGCTTCGCAGAATCTACTACCGGATCGGAAACGCGTCCCACTAAGAAAATCCGGCGAGAAACTCAGTGGGCTGTGTCTATGGGTTAATTCGCTTGTCGAGCCCTTCGTCGCAAGCGACGGGTTCGACGAGAGCAGTGACCGGTGCTTGTTACCTAAAAGCACCGTTAATGGATCGGGAGGATCCGTAATGACGTACAAATTTGAGTTAACTTTTACGCGATCGAGAAGTTAAAAAACTCGTATTAAGCACGCTGTACTTGACGTTAGAAGTAACGTCACCAAAACGACGCCGAAATTTACTTGTTTACAAAATGCCTTATCACCAGTAAATTTAAACGAATCATTTAGATGCGTAAGAGAATTTTTGGTGGTTGAAATCACAGGGATTTTCAATTACCGTTATGGAAGTATGTATCGCAAAAAATAGCGGAGAGAAATTTATAAAAAAATGTTTTTTTGTTGCATGCGAAACGTGTTATTGTTTCACAAACAAATGTGTAGCAGATAATCCCGTTGAAGAAGTAAATTCTAAGATTCGTGAATTTTTTTTGACTGTCTCTATTTAATTAGTTTGCTACAAATTAATCAACATGTCACTGAATTTATACGTGGCAAATTCTAAAATATAAACGCAAGGGAGTGGCCTATTTGAAAATTATGTGTTATTTAGTAGCAAGACGTTACGCCAGCAGTCCGAGGTTGAGCAGACCGTGACATTCTGATGTTTGGACGTGGAGTCTAGTTCTAAGTGTCACCTGCAAGGGTAACAAACTATATTTTTAAATGATAGTATTAAGTTTTTATTTATTTTCAAAATTTTCATAAATGTTTTATTCATAGCTGCAGATAGGGTGTTCAAAGCCTATCTGCTAATAAGTTGCTCATGTGCGCCTCAGTCTGAATGCTGTTTTTACCCACTTTGTCATTTAAGGTAAAATTCAATCTTTTAGTACACCGGGTCTCATACGCTTTAATGTTGACTTCATCACAGCTGAAACTGGTCATATGCGGTATACCGTACATATTTAGGTATGTAATACCTATTATGGATCACAACACGTTCTACCATCGCTAATAACTACGTTACGTATTGATATTTAATTTACGTTATTAATTACTAAGTATTTTACTATATCGAATATGTATAGCTTATCTTTTGTAGTAAGTAAAGTTTTTATTTTGTATTTTATTATGCCAGAACACACTGTTCTCACGATTGAAAAAAACTAGGATTAATTAATAGTAATCAAGAAAACAGTAAAAGGCGAAACTCTATGCGCATGTCGAAGTTCTTACTGATCATAATATTATATTGTTTCTTGGTATTCTCAACTGCTCAATTTCAAGAAATTCTGCTTGTATAAATCAGACCTAAGTCATTCTAAGCTATATTCCAATAAGTATATCTATTATATGAATTTTAATTATTGTATTACTCAGATATATCATAGGTGTCTCAACGAGTTTAGCAAAAGCTCACCATTAAGGCGGTTTTAAATAAAGATTCAATTTGGTAGACAATGCATCCAGCCATCGGGACGACCTTGTAAGAGGGATTGAGAGGTGCGCGGGACGAAGATGCACCGTTTGGCCGGGGGCCAGGCTATATGCGTAACACCGCGACGCCGCGCCAACCTGACATTTTTATTTATTAAAAACAACCGATGATCGGATGGAGGCCGACACATCGGTTCGACCCGTGCAAATCCATCACACTTTACGAGTCAATGGCGAGGACGTCTGACTATATTTAATCGTATCCATCGTCATGTTTCAAAGAGAAAAACACAAAGCGACGTCAATTCGACGTGCGATACGGTTTTTTGAAAAAAATTTGAGATGCTACATTTTGGCACACGTTCATGGGTGAATATTTGCAAATGAACATATTAGACAATTTTAAAGAATGAAAAACCAGTACTTACAAAACTGTTCTTTAGATATTCATAGCAAAGCTGATAGCATACACATACAATAAAATTCGTGAGACCAAAAATTAGCCTTTATATACATCACAATTTGGATCTGAAATTATTGTGCAAACGGTAATGAGAAATTAAACAAATGGTAAAGAGAATTTTAGAATGGTAATTATATTATAGGAATGGTAATTAGTAAAACACAAACACCGTGGAGGGGAGCTCATTCCATAGCCGGATGATACATGGCAAAAAATACCTCTGGAATCGCACTGTGGATGACCGCAGTGACTCCAGGTAGTATGCATGAACTCTACTCCGGTGGCGGGCAGTGCGATGGTAAAAACGAGATGCCGGTATCATCTCGAACAATTTCTCAGAGCACTCCCCATGGAACATACGGTACAAAATGCACAGGGAACTGAAGTCCCTTCGCAGACCCAGAGGTTCCAACCGATCCGTGAGAATGGGATTATCGACAATCTGAACGGCCCTCCTCTGTATGGAGTCAAGCCATGGAAGAAGCTGTTATTTGGGAGCCCCGGCCCAGAGATGGGAGCAGTACTCCACGCGAGGCCGGACTTGTGCTTTGTAAAGCAAAAGCCTTTGTCCAGGCGTGAAGTATCGCTTCGCTCTGTTGAGGACAGCATTTTGGACGCCAACTTGGCTTTTCCTTCCAAATGACTCCGAAACTGGACATCACTCGAAATGTCGACCCTAAGTATCCCGATACTCTCAGAAGGTTGCAGGGATACTCCTTGGAATTGCGGCGCCATGGTAAAGGGGCCTTTCTTCGCAGTGAACGCGCAAACTTGTGTCTTTAACGGGTTGAATTGAACCAAGTTCTATTCACCCCATTTGGAGACTCCCCCAGAGAGTTTTCCACTTCAGACACAAGTTTTAATCGTCTCTCTTGCATCACATTCCGAGAGAGACTCTGATGGCCGATATATCGCGCATCCCCCGTGCTGTCATCCGCATAGCAATGCATGCCATCAATAGACAGCATGTCATTGATATACAGGATGAAAAGCACGGGGGAGAGCACCGAACATTGTGAAACGCCAGCGTTAATAGTCATGGTATCAGAATAGTCACCGTCTACAACGACCGTGATGCTCCGCCCATCCAAAAAGCTAGCGATCCACTTGCAGAGACCCTCGGGGATTCCGTAAGATGGTAGCTTCGACAGAAGTGCCCTATGCCAGACCCTGTCGAAGGCCTTCGCGATATCAAGGCTTACAGCAAGAGCCTCGCCCTTGCTCTCCAAGGCTTCAGCCCACCTGTGAGTAAGGTATACAAGAAGATCGCCAGCTGAGCGACCGTGACGGAAACCGTACTATCGTTCACTGATCAGCTGGCGATCTTCAAGATATTTCAGGAGTTGTGTTTTTATTATTCGCTCCATCACCTTGGAAAGCAAGGAAGTTATCGCGATAGGCCTATAGCTCGATGGGTCCGACCGGTCACCCTTCTTGGGGATAGGGTGGACGTGGGCGGTCTTCCAAGAAGACGGAGCCCTGTTACTGCAATAAGAGAGGCGATACAAACGCGTTAGCGCAGGCGTCAGCTTAGGGGCGCACGTTTTCAGAACCACAGCAGGAATGCCGTCCGGCCCACTCGACTTATGGACGTCCAGAAGTCGGAGTTCCTGCCTGACTGCACACTGTGTAAAGCAGATCTCCGGCAGGGAACTATCACACCGGGGGATGTTCAGTGGTGTGGAACCCTCGTCGTCCACAGTCGAGTTCGAGGCGAAGAGTTTGGTTTTGGACCAAAAGATTAGCCTTCTCTTACGCGCTATGGGCCAAACTGTCATCGGATTTCTCTGTGGAAGTCCAATGACAATTTCCGGGTCTGTGTGGATTACGGTTGTGGAGCTAACAACTCATACCTATACCTATTTATTGAATAAGTATAGATAGAAACCAAAAAAGCGACGATAGAGATACCACTACTGTAAGAGAAGATTGGCAGTGACACAAAAAAGCGCAGAAAGTGCTATGTTGCGCTTTTCTTGAATCTGAAATTTGTAGTGGTTTAGTAATTTACACGGCAGTTTAAATTATTTTTTTTATTGCTTATATGGGTGGACGAGCTCACAGCCCACCTGGTGTTAAGTGGTTACTGGAGCCCATAGACATCCACAACGTAAATGCGCCACCCACCTTGAGATATAAGTTCTAAGGTCTCAAGTACAGTTACAACGGCTGCCCCGCCCTTCGAACCGAAACGCATTACTGCTTCACGGCAGAAATAGGCAGGGTGGTGGTACCCACCCGCGCGGACTCACAAGTGGTCCTACCACCAGTAAAAATAGGATTTATTGAAACAATATTACATTTAAATAGA